AATATCTGCAGAAGATTTCAAAGAGTTCTTTTGGAACTTTTCCGTGTTTTTTGGAATTTTGGAGTTTTTCGAATATTTTGTGAACTTTTGGGACTCTTTTGGAAATAAATTTTGGTGCCTCTTTGTGTTTTATAACATTTAGGTCCTGATGAGGCTCCGGGACAGCACAAATACTGAGAGGAAAAAAATAATATTAAATACAAATGGTTCAATGCTAGTCGGGTGGGCACGCCGATTTTTCGAATACGTTAGGAATAAGCGTACATGAGGACTGTTGCCCACTGCTATGATATCACGATTATCGCCGACCAAGCCTTGGAGGGGAGGAACATTTCCGAACCATAGCGAAGAATTTATGAGTCAGTGGGAGTTTAGCCACTTTAGGTGGTGGAAGGGGGGGGGGCGAGACACGTTAGAACCTGCAATTAGCGAATTATTCTCATAGCTTCTTGTTACGTCATAACAGTGAACACTAGCCCCAGGTACATGCTTCTCGCGTAGTATTTCGTATTCCTTTTAAGAAATAAACAAATCCTCACAACAATGTCTTCCTTCGGCAACTCGTAGCATGCTTTGACGATGGCGCGAAGTTGGATCCCTGAACAAATAATTTGAAAATCGGAATTTTCACCTGGGAAAAATCTGTAAAGAGGTCTCGCAAGGTATCGAGTAGAAGTTGTTCTTTAAAATAGGCTGCTTTTTGCAGCTTCCTATGGTTAGGTACATAAAATAGCCTAGGTGAACAAGGCATCGATAAAATGGCTGCGACAGTACGGCCCCCACCCCCTAGCGCAGACCCTGGTTCAACCCTATTTATCCCGACTTATTGGTCGCGAATCAATAGCGTCTTTGATTCTGTTACCATGTGACTCTTCTTCCACTTCCAAACCCGCCCCCGTGCGATGGGTACATCTAACTGCAGAAACGCATACCTTGCGTTCTACGACGCTATTTCATATTCCCACCTAAACTCTACTTTCTTCTCTGAATCCTTACAGAAATCCCAAACATGACCCGTCGAGGGATCCTCCAGAGATATTCTCCCTGAGTGAACCTTTTTCAAGGACATGTTTAACATATAACAATGTGCCAGAGAGAGAGGTGTCATAGAGGTTAGAGTACCTGGTTCAAAACAGACTCAGGACAATCGAGCCTTCTTTTACTTCCACCTAGTTAATACCTACTGTGGCAGGCATAAGCTTGTGTATCGTGGGGTCTACATGGTTCTTAAAACCCCTACGTACCACTTTCCTAAGGAATCAATTCCCTTCCTGGTCCATGAAGGTAAAACCTCCTGTGATGGGTTGTTACCTGAAATCTTTTGCTGGTTTCCCCTAGAAAATAAAGTATCTGACTCAAATGTCTTGCAAGCCGTTGTGTGGGTCTTATCTCATCGCTCCCTTCCACGATTGTGGGAATTCGAGTACATGGCACAACCCCAAAGAGAGCACTTCACTTCCGTCTTTTTGCGTAATGTTGAACCGAGATGTTGAAATGACCAACCTTCATCCGTTAAACCTTTTTACAAAACTCTCGACCTGTTTGCGGAGAAGAACGTAAACGTTACATAATGCTTCTCAAACCGACCTGACCACCAGTTCACGGACCTCCAATAGACATGCGGTAGATAGAAACAAAACGCAAGTAGAACTAACACAAATTGTACCCACTAAATATAATCAACTCAGAAATAACTCCTAAAACCACTGAATCAAAACTAACCTGATAATACGGTAACTCCGCTTTCTCTCTATAGGCAAGACTTGGCATATTTGGATCGTTCATCGGTATATAGTACGTATTTTCTATCAAGCAATAATCCCTTGTGTATTCCACCCAACCTTGAATCAATTACATATGATTAGTAATAAGTTTAAGGGCGTTGTAAATTGAAAAAGCCAGAATTAGAACTCGCTTGCCTCCTCGAAACTCGGCCGGTGTCCAACAAATGATTGGTGTGCCCATGTAGAGCTGAAAATTTCAACACTTCGTGCTATACTCGGGTATTGTAATTAGAAATTCAGAGCTCTGATTTACCCCTATAATTGGCGCTCATGGCCTTGGGCGAGGGGGAGGGGGTAGGGAGAAAGCGGGGCATCAAAACTGCTGGTAGGAGCCTTAGAGAGGGCAGAATCGCTAGGGTGAACAAAAAGCGCTCGCATCCTTCCCTAGGATACCTTCCCC